ATTAATTTCCATACTAACATTGTATCCTTTTGCTTCTAGTATTCTCAGAAGTTTGTGGGAAGCGAGTAAAGGTGGACGTCGAGCTCAGAAGAAATCCGCGACAGAAACAGGTTGGATGGTGCCGCAGGCCGGCGCCATTTGAACCGACGAGCTGGGCGAAGGGAACGGTTTCCTTCCTTGGGTCGCGGGTGTGAACGACACGCAAACGGGACCGGATTTTCCCGGGTCTCGTAGAGACAGGTGCGAAGGCGTGCCTCCACGATGGGGGTCGCCGACGACTTCGCGCCCAGCTTTACGCAGAAGCCGCAACTGCGACAGGAGGACGACGGCAATCGGCTGATATTCGAGTGTCAGCTAGTGAGCTCACCTAAACCCGACATCGCCTGGTTCCGCGGCGAGACCGAGCTCAGCGAGGATGACAGAACAAATTTCAAGATGCAGAGCGTCGGGACCAACAAGTTCCTGGTGGTGCTCGAGCTCGACGACGTCATCGAGACCGACGCGGGCCTCTATAAGGTCAAGGCGAAGAACAAGATGGGCGAGGTTGCTGCCTCCATCAACCTCAACTTTAGTCGTAAGTATTCATATCTTACATTTCTCTTTTTCCATTTCCTATAATAGTTATATTTTTTGAAATAATAGCGATATTTTTGTAGAGGTAAAGTTACACGTATTACGGAATTATTTAGGCTAGCCTGCACGCGAGATATTTCGTTTATAGCCGGTTTTACTGATTCGTCTTTATCTGCTTCAAATTCTAAAAAAATAGTAAAACGATTGATTAAATCATGATTATGATTAATAAACATTCATAAAATGAGTTAACTATAGGATTTTTTATATAAAAGTGAATTTTGTTTTTAATTTGTAAGCTAAAAAGTATCGGTGGATTTAAATACCGATTGCCACTTGATATAAATTTTGCATACAATTTTTTTTATTTAAAACTTCTTTAAAGTAAATCGTTTCTTGAGTAACATTTTGCCGTTATATTTTTCTAGCAATGGATGAGCCTAGAGAGAAGTAAGTCGGTGAAGTTTGTGAACCGAGAGGAAGACTCGATTTGTCGCTTCTCCAGGCTCTGTTTAATTAACTTGTTTTGCGCTTCGCGCTTATGCACTAATGCGTTTCTATTTATTATTTTGCTATCGAATGTTTTTCCGATTTATTTCTGCCTTTCTCGCTTATTTCGTTGTCTTTCGTTTTTCATTTATGATTTTAGCTGCCGATCAATCCGTTGGGAGAGGGTGAGAGCATTACTTACGCTGTGTTTTGCAACTGTAGTAATTACCAACTTGATAATTAATTTATTAACATTAATAAAACTGATGTCACATTGTTTCTCCTACAATTTTAATCAAGAAAAATATCAGATATGACGATAATACTAAAGGAAATGAATAATATCATAACATATGTGTGTATTTCCGTTCTTCAATTTATCAAAAACTTGAAGAGAATTTCCTGTAGATTTTAGTGTCAAATAATTTTTCCATTGATTTCCAATCCTGATTTAATTCTTCACAAAAGAAAATTGATTACAAATTTCTTGAGAATATTACGGAAGTTCAACACGAAGTTTATAGGAAGTTCCTTGCCTTCATGTGAAAGTTACGTGTAAAATTTAGATTTCTTCGGTGCATTATTTACTATTGCCGCGCTATCTCGGCCGATAACGTTCGAGTGCACGTTAAATCGGCCTGACCGAGAATAACCGTCGCGGTATGCCCGCTATTTTCGGTCGCGCGTTCGCGCCGCGCAATCCGACAGAAATCATGACGGCTCGCTGAGCGTTAGCTGGACGATCGGCCGCTTCTTACCGATCCGCCTACGCAGACAGAACGGCAAACGCGAATTGCGGATGGAAATAGAATTAAGGTCTTCTAGTTTTGGACACACCGCTCGTGTCTCGCACGCCGCAATCTGACCACAAAGTGGCCGAATTATTTCGGACGTTGTCTCTCGTGAGAAAGAAATCCCATTAAATCTCATAATTATAATTATAAATGGTCAGATCGAGAGAGAGAAACAGACAAACGATTCAACTATAACTGAACTTTGACGAAATTCAACAGAAGGCTGGAAGAGTAGATAGAAAAATAATAACAAGTTGCGTATCAAAATTTTTAGAATGTTAAGTAATAATTACAGAAACGTTTATTTATATTTAATTTGTATAGTAAATCATAGACTTAGTATGTTTAAAAGTTTTAAAATTATACATTAAGCTGCATTTTTTGTATTATTTTTCGAAAAAGGAGAAACGTTTCTGTAATAATTGCATAATTATAAAGCGGTTCACGAAAAGTTATTTTTATCTTCGTAACCGTTTAATTATAATAACAACGATTCACTGTCGCGGCCCAGCTGCGTAAATCAGATCAATCGCTGCGGAGATCTTCGCTGCGGTCTCTGCACGAGAGCGGAAAGCATTTATCAGTTCTCAAATCTCTTCTCGCATGCCACTTGCAGTTATTCTCGCATATCTCGTTACGACTTTAATGATTTTCGAAGATAATTCGAAACTGGGTCGGGAGTGCTCTCTCGAGACGGGCTCTCTCGAGACGCAGTCGGCGGCGACGAGCGGCTGTATTTTCGGATTGCATCGACAGACGTGATTCCCGTGAATTTCTAAAAGTAACGCGAGCCTTTCCGCTTCCACGCGTCTCCCGAAACGTGTCGCAGTTCGCGTTCCATGATGCGTACCGAAAAAAACAAAATTTCGGTCAGCCGCGAGAAATAATTGACCCGAAAAACGTAAAACGCATTCGCGTATTTTGAGCGACGAGATTTTTAGCGTTTTGGCGAGCGAGTTGATTCGTCAAAAGGGCGGAATCGCCGAACGCGAACGAAGGTTCGCAGCCTGCGAAAATCGAATCGATCTGCGATTGACGGAGAGTGAAAGTCGAGAGAAAACAGCTGCAGCCTACTTCTCCTCGCTAAACATAGCCGCAACGGCGCAGCCGTGCTAATGCACTTATGGTCCATTTGGGATGCGAGTGTTAGGCACGTGCCTCTCGTCCCAGCTCTCAATTTTCGAGAATAAACATTGGCGCGATCGTAACTCGGATCGCGCGATTCCGTTGCAAAGAGTAATTTATTTAAAGAGAAATGGTGGTAGTAGTAATTTTGTTTCTAATTTGCAAAGAATTCTATACATATATGTATAAAAAAAAGCTGCAGATTAAAAATCTGCGACTTTAAATAACCGACGATAAGGCATGATAATCACTTGATTGATTTTTTTGAGAGAATTAAAAAAGCGATACAAAATGTTAATGTGAAAATTTTACAAGAGGAAATTGTCTTTAAGAAATTATATTTAGTTTAAAGCTTTAGATTTTCTGAAAGATTTTTCTGAATCGAATATTTAACCGTCGACAAAGAGTATTGGTGCCAAGAAAGACAGTAGTATCAATTGTAATGGCGATGTACCGGATTTTGAAGTGGTTGTTAGCTGTCGGATCGCCATCAGAATAAGCTGTTGTACGAGCCTCCTCTCGTCAAGAAGGATCCACTAATCAAAACAAGAGTTATTTCTGGCAGCAATTCGCGAAAAGCCGGGAAATCTCACAGCTGCCGCATAAGCTGCTCTTCTCTCATTCCAAATATTACCACCTTCCTTATCTTCGCATATTTAA